CTACTAGGAAGGAAATTAACTCTGTCCCTGCCGAAACCAGGACAATGTGCAACAAATTGAGAGCTTTCATTTTTCTTCATTTATTTTTATTAAGGTGGCCACCACAAAGATAAACCGGCATGTGCTGTGTGTAACTTGTAGTACTGCACTCTTTGTTGTTCCCTTGACATTATGGCAATATTAATAACACTCATGTGTTTATGTTACAACCTACATATATTCTCTCACACATACTCTCAAGGTGCTGCTTTATTGTGAACTGTTCCATTAAGAAAGCTGTTGCTAGTACATAAACCTGAGCAAAGAACCAGGTGAACGCATTTCTGCTGCTTCCGGACCTGCCCTAGCTATATGTGTAAATCAGATTAGCAAATTTTAGAGTCATGTGTTTAAGCAAGGCATTGCTCAAACGTACGGATGCTCCAGGGAAGGAACCACATGGGAGGAAATGTGCTACATACACTTCCCTGCTCATGGAAATAAATACTCGTTGCTGGGTTATTCCAGATGGAAATTTAAATAAGGTCTCTTTCTTCTTGTTTTGGTTCAAGTATATCAAGCACTGGGAGCAAGGCAGGTGAAGGTAACTTCAAGAACAACTTCTTCCTTTCCCCAAGATTTCTAAACTGGAAAAGCAACAAAGCACAAAGCAATGCTGTGAGTAGGCAGCTGAGAGAGCAGGACTGGACCACATTAAGAAGATGCTTCCTGAGTACCTGTACTAAGGAGCAAGGGATATGAATTTAAACTGAACACCATGCTTAGGTAGCTGTCCTGACTTATGCACTGTGTATATGATACTAACATACAGCTATATGCAAAGTGAGCAGGTCAGAAATCTAAGCACAGATGTCTAGACCATTTGATGTGCCTTAGGGTATCTTACTTGACCTCCAGTTGCTGCTGCCTGCGTGGACCCTTATGTTTGCTCTTTGTCAGGATATTTTGGACGCTATAGGATATCTCTAATGGCAAAAGATATTTATGTTTCAGCACTTGAATCATTTCCTCAGTTATATCAAGTGGAAGCAGGTCTTCTCAGAAGAAAAACAGGACATTCTCTATGAACGGGACATTTTCCTTGTGCCACGATCATAGTCACTGATAAAGACTTGTGCATAGGAGAGGTGGTTGGGTGGCTGGAAGGATTTGGAAATTTTTTACACAAATCAAAGCTGCGCACTGAAAGAGGTCTCAGTGTTATCCAAACTAATCACCCTGTGG